ATGGATCACATATATGGCTGTCCATGAATCTTCCTACCTTTATGAACAAAGAAGAGTTTTCCTGATGTCTCAGATTGAATAGGTTGGCCAAACTTACTATAGAAACCGTATACAGGGTCATAAGATCATAAGTTATAATTAGAAATACCTTGGAGACCATCTCGTCCAATCAGACGAGAGAGTTGAAGTGACTTGCTCATGGTCATGCAGGTACCACCTGTGTGGGTGGGTTCCATTTCCTGAAATTTGTCCTTTGCCCATTTGGGGTGCCTATTTATATAGATCCACTGAAAACAGAAGTTTTGTATCCCAGTCCAGGGAAAGTAAAAACAGTAAACTCTGGGATTATACTACTACTGAAGGGTAAAAATCCTAAAATTCCTTATGCTCAACAGAGATTATTGGGTTCCTGTCACCAGGGCCCTGGATGCAGTAGGAGACCTTGACCTTTTAAAGTTAAGGTCTTTCCCAGGTCTCAGTTTGACCGAGTCAATGCCCACTCTGCAATTAAGGCTAGGTAAGAAATTTATAGGGGCAGCTAGGTGGCATAGTCGATAGAGCTCTGGCCTTTTAGGAGGACCTGAGTTCAAATCCAACCTCAGACACTTAACACTCACTAGCTGTGTGACCCTGGGCAAGTCACTTAACCCGATCGCCTCACCAAAAAGCAACAACAACAAAAAAGGGGCTGCTAGGTGGCATAGGCGATAGAGCTCTGGCCCTGAAGTCAGGAGGACCTGAGTTCAAATCCGACCTCAGACCAAACACTTGACACTTACTAGCTGTGTGACCCTGGGCAAGTCACTTAACCCCAATTGCCTAAAGAAAAAAAAAGAAAAAGAAATTTATTAAGCATCTACTATGTGCTCTGTGCTTTAAAATGTTATCTCATTTGATCCTCACAACATCTCTGCCAGGTTGCTATTGTTCAGTCATTGTCATCCCTATTTTATAGTTGAGTAAACTAAGGCAGACAGTGGTTAAGCGACTTGCCCAGGGTCATTCAGATAACTAGTCTCTGAAGGCTGGTTTTGAACTCGGGTTTTCTTGACTCCTGGTCCAGCACTTTATTGAATTCACCATCTCCTACCTCAAGGGAAAGGTACTAGGAGCTTCGAAAAAAGGAGCAAGGTGCAGGAAAAGCACGATGCAGAGGGAAGGAGGATAAGCAGAAGTCACGTTAAAAATGTGTAAGTTTTAAGAAATTTCAAAAAAATGGAAGGATTTTTGGTAGTAAAAGTTTTGTGGACTGCTACTGTTGGTCCATGGAATGACAGGGTTCTTCAGGTATTTCAAAGGGCATTGTGCCAGGCTGCCTCACAGCAAAGGAGGTCCTGATGGGTAGACCTGCAGGGGGTTGTCCAACCCTCCATAAGGGCTTGGGAAATGGGGAAACTACAGTGAAATGAGTCATTCAAAGAACCCTGAGCACCATATTATCATCGAGGCCGTAGTTGTCAAACCTACCATTATACTGTGAGCAAAATGTAATGAGATTCATGAGTTTTTCTTCAATTTCTACTTTCCCATTCCTTTGTAAGCTCTCCGAAGATCAGAGATCTTAGGACCAAATGGTCACCTGGGGAAGGCAACCATTAAGTAAGCATCCGTGTTAAATCTTAGAATAATCATTGAAATTCCCCCTTTTCTGCTTTGTAGCCTCCCAATCTCCTTCCCTTTATTGGTTTTAGTCCAGGTTATAAATACTTCATTGTTTCTTAGGTGCAGGGAGACCAACAGATAACCAGATTTAAAGAAATTGAGCCACACAGAGGTTAAGTGACTTGCCCAAGTTCACACGATCAGTAAGTGTCTGAGGCGACATTTGAACTCAGATCTTCCTTATTCCAGGTCCAGCCACTAGGCACTTCCATGTAAATTAAGTTATCCTAAGGGTTCACAACATATTTTTGTTGTGGTTGAAAGAAGTTCAAGAAACGAAAAAAGTGGGAAACCATCACTATAGGAGAGGTTCTATAGATTCCAAGACCAGGGATAACTGGCAGGACAAAATTCCACCCCCTTCTCTCCTTCTGTGCCCTTTGGGGCTTCAAGGTCTCCTGGGTTCTGCTACCACACAAAGCTTGTAGGTATACCTTAATCCTGTTGGATGAATGGCCTAATGTGTTAATTGTTGTATCATTGTGCAAGCAATAAACCATTCAGTAAACACATTTAGCAGGGCCATTAAGCACCTGGGGCTAACGATAGAAACAATTTCTTGTTTTATTTCCCAGATGTCCAATAAAGCTACAGTATGGTTTAAGGAAACAGGCTTTTAATATCTTCAACTACTCTCTCTCTCTCTCTCTCTCCTCCTGAACCTGTTTCCCCATCTGTAATGTAGGAATAAATGCTTGCATTCCACACCTGGCATTTTGGCCCAAAGAAAGCAATTTGTAAACTGCAGGATTACAGCCTAACAAGTTGTATGTCAGTTATAAAACTGGCAGACTGCTGATTTCTTCATTCAACTAGACCAGTTATTCATCTATGCTCTGTTATCCTCATAACAAACCTTCCCGATTGTTGCCCAGAGTGCTAAAATGAAAGACATCATTCTGAACAATCCTGATACTCTATATAAAAACATAGAGGTAAATTCAACTGTATTCACTTTACAAAAAGATTCACCTAAAATGCCTATAAATAAGGAACCACACTGGTACATTTTAAATAATTCAATTTACAAAAGAAAAAATTTAAAGGAATGTATATCCATCTGTTACATAAAGCCAGGTACTCCTTTATTGTATCTCTACCAAAAACTATATCATACTATCTCACAATTTGTTTGATACATAATAAAAAGGTAGCACCAAGTATGTTTTAACCAAATTTATCCAAGCTATCATAATTTTGCGCTGAATATATTATAAATTAAAAATTGGGCTCCCCTACCTTTTCAAAAGGTTGCCTTTAAAAGATGAATGACTATGATTAAAAGACTGAGATAAGTTTCATTCCTTTCACATTCAGGTGAAACTGACTCTAAAGTTCTGTGACTATTAAAAAAAAAGTATTTTGAAACAGGAGATGTTTAAAATAGTTTTACAGATGAAGTAACCAAAATGTACAACTAAGTGACTCGCCCAAGGTTCCAAAGCTAACATTTAATGACAGACAAAATAAGAACCCAGGCTCCTGGTTACTAGCTCTGGGCTCTTTAGGTTATAGCATAGCACCTACTCATCTGTTGCTTTGCTCTGAGATTACAACATCTCACTCCACCAACAAATAATCCCCTCAATCAGGGATTCTCCCAGGGTGTGGGATCTAAATGAGGTGAAAATAATAGCTCACATTTATTTAGTGCTTTAAAGGTTGCAAAGCAAACATTATCACATTTCTTCCTTAAAACAACCCTGTGAGGTAGGTGATCCCCTACCACTCAGGTAAGCGGGGTGCAGTAAGTCAGAATATCTAGTGGATTTTTCCACCAAGTGGGAAGAAAGAGTAAGGAGAAAGGGCAGTTACTTGTTAATTGAAAAAAATTTTGATTTAAAAAAAGGAAAGAAAACTTAATTCACTCCTTGACTTGGTGCAAATCAGCTTTGCCTTAGTTTCTCCCTCTATAAATAGGTTTGTTGTGAAGAAAAACTTATTGTAAAGTGCTATAGAAATAGACATTATTATTCCCAGTCCCTGATCTGTTACAGAGTAGCTCTGTAAATGGGGGGTAATGTCAGTCATTTCTCTTCTCTGGGCCTCAGTTTCTTATTTGCAGAATGATGGCCTCTGAGACTCTTCCTTTCAGGTCTGACATTTAATGATTTTGTGACCTGGAGTCTGCTGGGATTCAGAAAGCTAGACTCAATGGCCACTGCCACAGAAGATATGGAAGATTTGTTAGTCGATGATATTGCAATGGAGGTCAGCCAGAATTAGCAGTTCTCAAAATGTGATCCCTGGGGAGTCCCAGATACCCTTTTAAGGGGATCACTAAGGAAAAACTATTTTCATCATAATACTAAGATGTTGTTCATCTATTAAAATATTCCTCCCTTTTCCAACTACCTATCTGTATGAGGCCAGTTTTTCTTCACTCACTTTAACCAAAACAACATAATGAAAGCAGATTGAATGCAGACTCAGATATGAGAATCCAGCAGACATTAGATTTGCAAAAATATGTAAAAACAATGCCACTCTTCTCACTAAGCTTCTTTTTTCCCCATTAAAATGTTTGTTATTGTATAATCTATAGTAAATTGCTTGCCTTCTCAAAGAGGGACAAAGGGAGGAAGAGAATATGGAGCCCAAAATTAAAAAAAAGAATGTTAAAAACTGTTTTTATGTGTAATTAAGAGAAAAAATGATTTTAAAATGTTATGACTTCATATGTATAATCCACCTCATATTGCTTGCCTTCTCAATGGGTGGGGAAAGGGTGAGGGGGGGAGAGAATTTAGAACTCAAAATTAAAAAAAAATGTTAAAATTTTTTAGATGTAATTGGGAAACATTTAACGAAATAAATAAAAAATATATTAAAACCAAAAAATGTTATCTAGTTAGGTGGTGCAATGGATAGAGTGCTGGGTCTGGAGTCAGGAAGACTCATCTTCCCGAGTTCAAATCTGCCCTCAGATATTTACTAGCTGTGTGACCCTGGGCAAGTCACTTAACCCAGTTTGCTCATCTATAAAATGACCTGAAGAAGGAAACCCAGTATTTCTGCTAAGAAAACCCCAAAAGGGGTCACAAAGTGTCGGACACGACTGAACAATCATTTTTCATTTCTGATACGGTATCGACAGATATAACCCACATAAACAGAAGCTCTTTGGAGTCCTCGATAATTCTGAAGAGTGCAAACGGGTCCGGAGACCCAAAAGTTTGAGAATGTCAGGTCCAAACGCTCTCTAAGATCCCTTAAGATCCAGGCTCTGCCCAGACTCACAGAAACCGGATGTTGACCACTTTCTCCATGGTAACCAGGGAAAGGAAGCCGGAAGTGACTCGCTGGAAGCGGAAGTGAGGCGCTCGGAGCCGCACGTGGGTGCTGCGTGTTGGAAGGGCGGCCGAGCTCTGCGGGTCTCAGGAGTGGAGCCAGGGGCCACAGCCGCCGTGAGCCCCCAGCCATGGGGCGGTCTGGAAAGTTGCCCTCTGGCGCCTCCACCAAGCTGAAGCGCTGGAAGAAGGGCCACAGCAGCGATTCCAATCCCGAAGGCCGGCGGCACCGGCAGGCCGCGCGCAGCCGCTTCTTCAGCCGGCCCTCAGGTAGCGGCCCCGCCGGGCAGGGGCTGGGGGAGAGCGGGGCTGCTCTCGAGAGTTGCTCGGGGGTCAGCGGGGGCTTAAAGGCTGGGGGCCTTTGGTGGGTTGGGGCGGGGCTTATGGGGCTCCGAGACAAGGGTTCTTAACTCCTCCCCCCGTGGGGCCACAGGGTCCAAGCGTAGAATTCAGGGAGGGAGTTCCTGAACTACTTTTTTTCCCCAATGTGCTTATTGCTTTCAATATTCCTATATAACTGGTTTCTTTAGTAATCGTATTTTTTATTTTGCACATTGAAAAGCTGCCCCGAGAAGGGGGCCATAGGCTTTATCACACTGCCAGAGGGGTCTGTGACACCAGAAAGTAAGGAGGTCTGCTCTAGGAGACGACGCTGAGAGTCTCCGGCTTCGGCGCCCGAGACTAGGTGTTCTGGAAGAATGTTTAGACACAGTGAGATTCCTGACCTCATGGGGCTGAAAGTGGACTGTGAGATCCAGAGAGGAAGAAGAGTAGGAAAAGCAGGATGCAAAGGGGAGGAACTATAAGCAAGAGTTACTTTTAAACACAGGAGTTTTAAGAAGGACCTTTAAAAAAAGTAAAGATTCTTTTTGGCAGTGCAAGTCTTATGGGTTGGCGCTGGCGGATAGGGTTGTCACTCACTGGGGGATCCTGGGAGTCTCTGTTCCTGGGGGAGGGGGCATTTGAGTCTCACTTCCAAATGGATTCAACAAGGGAAGATGGGGAGGGAGAGAGGGCGGTTTCAGCTTTGGAAACAAGCAAAGGCTTAAAAGCAGGGAAGTCTTTGGCCAACAGAACAGTATAATTTGGTGCAGAGAACATGCATGAGAAGAGAGGCTAGAGGAGTAGTGTGGCAACTGAATGGTGTCCAGGGAGATAATGGCGTTTGGGCCAGATAGAAATGGGGAAAGTGCCTCCATTCCTGTGGAAAAGTATGGAAGTTTTGGAGTCATCAGTTTGAATGAAGCATAGTGTTTGAATGAAGTCATCAGTTTGAATGAAGCATATGTGTTTAAGCAACTAATTGGGACAGAAAATGTAGATGTAGAATTGACAGGATTCTGGCAACTGATCAGGGCCATGGTTTGGAACTTTTTGTGTGTGTGTATGTGTGTGATGTGGACCTCATTGGCAGTCTGCTGAAGGCTAATGACATTTTTAAATGAATAAAATAGAAAGGATTACAAAGGAAACTGGTTATATTAAAATACAGGTATCACAATACTTTTTAAAAACACAATTTTATGGACTCTAGATTAAGAACTCCTTAATTAGAGATAGGAGAGAGAAGAGTAAAAAATACCTTGAAAGTAAAATTTTAGCCTGGGTGATTGAAGAAAAAATTGTATCAGTCATTCATTTAGCTAGGATTAGGTGCTAGGCTTTTCACAGTGTAGTCTCTGCCCTTAAAGAATTTACTTTCTGGGACATAGATGGATGAGTAAATAAGGACTATACAAAGTAATACCAGGGGGAAGGAGGGCACTCACAGCTGGAAGACCTGTTATAGAAGAGGCTATTGAAGGAAGTTGAGCATTCTAAAACGTGGGAGTGAGGAAGTAACACATTCCAAGCAAGGGGGAAAGCCTGTGGAAAGGTATGAAATGAATGAAGTGCTGGAGGTACAGAAACAAAAGGCAAGACAATTGCTGTTCTCAAGGGGCTTACATTCTAATGGGAAGAGATATCACATACGGGGAAGTGGGCCACAGAGGGATGTTTTGATCAGGGAAGTCACAGGGGTGGTGAGTGGAGCCATAGAGTGACTGTTGGAATCGTCCTTCGTGTGAATGGTAGAGTTGATTTCATTACTATTCCCAGAACAAAAGCAAGAAGTGACAGGATAAGAGGGGGACGTATACAAGAGATGCTGTAGAGGTAGTGACTTAATTGGATATAGCTAGCTGAGGAGGGGAAAATTCAAGGATCATCCCTAAGTTTGGAACCTGGGTGACTGAAAGGATAGAGATGTCCTTATTAACAGGAATTGTAGCAACTGGTTTGGGGAGAAGGCAAAGCTTTCAATTTTAGGTGTGTTGACAGTGTGGGACATCCAGGTAGAGACTTATTAAAAGGCTATTATAAAAGCAGGATCCACGAGAGGAGGGGGATGGAGATATAGCTGGATAGAAGTGGTTATTGAAGCCATCGGAGTTGATTGGGTTACTGAAGGAGAGAGTGTAAAAAGAAATGGGGAGCATGGGCAGAACTTGGGGGATTGCCTGCATTTAGGATATCTGGGAAGAAAGAGGAGCCAGTTGGGAGAGGAACAGTCAAATCAAATGTCAGGAAGGATTGTTCAGCAGAGTGAGATGCACTGAGAGCTTAAGAGATGAAGACTGGAGTAAGACTAGTTGGATTTGTCAAGGACAGGAGTGACTTTAGTGCTGTTTCATTAGTGACTTGAGAGCTTTTCAGTAGGATAGTGGTGATAGAAGTCAGGTTGTAGGGGTGAAGAAGTAAATAGTAAGGAAATAGAGACAGTTAATGGAGCCACACTTAGAGTTTGGTGAAGAGGAGAAACCCAGTGACTTGGGGGGGGGGGGAACAGTGGCATGGTTGAAGAAAAAAATAATTTATTTTTAGGATAAGAAACCTGAATATAGATAGAGAGGCAGAGATTAGAGAAAGCCCAGTGACTTCTTTCCTATGAGGATTAACCCTTTGCCTCTTTTTCTCAGAAAAAAGTGATCTAACCATTGATGCTCTTAAATTGCATAATGAGCTGCAAGCTGGCCCTCTGCCCTTGGCCAGGGGAGAGAAAGCTCAGTCTCTCATGGAGAATGAAGCAGGCCCAGTGCTCTCTGAGAAATCTTCGGGCACCTTCCTGAGTGGCCTTTCTGACTGTACCAACATCACCTTCAGCAAGGTGCAGCGCTTTTGGGAGTCCAGTTCGGCTGCTCACAAGGAGGTATGAGTTGCAGGCTCTCATAGGATCTTTGTTTCAGGATGGTGTGGAGACCTAGCTTGTTTGAGTTCTAAAACTCAACCTCAGGCCTTGATATCAACTGATTTTGCTAGACTTTGGTTACAAATTAATTTGTCCTGCACTGATGCATTCTTGGTGGAGTTGTGAACTGATCCAACCATTTTGGAGAGCAATTTGGAACCATGCCCAAAGGGCTAAAAAATTGTGCATACCCTTTGACCCAGCAATACCCACTTCTATGTCTGTATCCCAAAGAGATCATAAAAATGGGAAAAGGACCCACATGTACAAAGATATTTATAGCACCTCTTATTGTGGTGGCAAATTGGAATTTGAGTGGATGCCCATCATTTGGGGAATGGCTGAACAAATTGTGGTATATGAATGTAATGGAATACTATTGTGCTATAAGAAATGATGAGCAGGCAGACTTAAGAAAAACTTGGAAAGATTTATATGAACTGATGCAGAATGAAATGAGCAGAACCAGGAGAACATTGTACACAGTAACAGCCACACTGTGTGATGACTGACTTTGATAGACTTGGCTCTTCTCAGCCATGCAAGGATCTAAGACAACTCCAAAAGACTCTCAATGGAAAATGCTGTCCACATCTAGAGAAAGAACTGTGGAGTCTGAATGCAGATGGAAGCATACTATTTGCTGTCCTTTTCCTTTGTTGTTTTGTCTTATTGCTTCATTCTTGTGGTTCCTCCCGTTAGTTCTCCCATTAGATTTTTTACGTTTTGACTAATAGGAAAATATGCTTAATATGAATGTGTAAATAGAGCCTATATCAGATTGCACACCCTCTTGAGGGGAGGAGAGGGGAGAAAATTTAAAACTCAAAATCTTATGGATGGAATGTTGAAAACTAAAAATCATTTTAAAAAATAAAAATAAAATGTGAAAGATTACGAGGAAAAAAATATTGGAAATTGAGGGGGTGCCAATCAATTGGGAAATGGTTGAACAAGCTTTGGTATATGAATGTAGTGGAATGCCATTGTGCAGTAAGAAATGATGAACAGGCAGATTTCAGAAAAGCCTGAAAGACCTGTACAAACTGATGCAGAGTGAAATGAGCAGAACCAGGAAATCTTTGTACATAGTATTGACAGCATTGTGTGATAATCAACTATGAATGACTCAGCTCTTAGCAACACAATGAACAAGTACAAAGGACTCACAAAGGAGGATGCTATCCACGTCCAGATAAAGAATTGATGGACTCTGAATGCAGATAGAAATATATTTTTTTACTTTATTCTTTTTTGTGTTTCTTTTCCTTTTGATCTGTTTCTTCTTTCACAGTGTTTTACATATTTTTTATTTTATACATATTAAATTGCCTTTCATTTTCAGAATGGGGGAGGGAGAAAAATTTGGAACTCAAAGTCTTGTAAAAATGAATGCTAAAAATTGTTTTGACATGTAATTAGAGGAAAAAAAAATACTGTTAGAAAGGAAAAAGAATTGATTTGTCTAGGAAAGAGGAGATTTTAGTGGGATGATGGTTTCTAATTTACAGATCCCTTCTGCCTCTTTTAGATCTGTGCGGTCCTGGCTGCTGTCACAGAAGTGATCCGTTCCCAGGGAGGGAAGGAGACTGAAACAGAGTACTTTGCTGCACTGGTGAGTTGGGGGTGTGAGAGAATATAAGTTCTGTCTGTAGTTTCAGCCCTGGCTGAGTCCCACACACTCCTTAATAGAATAGGTCTGAAAGGTGAAGTCTACCGTAGATCTTGAGATATAAGAACAAAGAAGGGCAGCGTTATTCAGTGAATTTGATGGCATTTGCCAGGTTATGTAAAAATTGCCGTATTCTCGCTTCCCCAAACCTTGGGTGCCACTAGGCCCCGGAGTTCTCAAAGAGTAAGGACTGTTAAATGCTACCCATGGGCATGTGGTGGCCTTTTCTTCGCCACATACTCTACCTTACTCCATATATGCACACGTGCTAAAATAACCTATTCATCCAGTGAGCCAGGCTTCTGTTCACTTTATTCTTTATCTGTTCCTCAGATGACCACAGTAGAAGCCGTGGAGTCAACAGAATCTCTAGCTGCTGTGGTTTATTTGCTGAATCTGGTTTTGAAGCGGTGAGTATAGGCTCCTTTCCTAACCTCCAGATTTCTAGAGGCCAAAGGCAGAGATGGAATGAAGACTTCTCCTGTCACGATGTTAAATACTGTGTGGAGTTCAGGGGTGACTTGAACTCTAGACTAAGGAATGTTGGATATTGGTAACGTGGGTGAAGATTGGGTTCCCCAAAATGAGGCTGTTGTGCCATTGGGGAGGGATAATGAAGAGTAAAGTTTCTCTGGAATGGAACAGATGCGTCAGGCATCCAGCTCAATATATACACAAGATTACTGATTTGATAAGCGTATAGGAAGTAACAGAATGAAAATAGCTAACAAATGTCTTTGGGGAAAAATAATTGGCATTTAGGTGGCAAAGTGATTACAGTTCACTGCAGTGATTTCCAACTGGATAATAGAGAAACAAAATAAATATTTAAAAAATAAATTGAAATTGAATACAATAATTAGTTGTGAGGGGAGATGAATTTTTTTTTATTTCAGCAAATTGAAAGAATTAAGAACAAGCTTGATGTATTTGACAACATTAAATTTGTGTACAACAAAAAAAAATAAAGAAAATTGTATTGAGGGAAATATATGTTATATATAATATGTATATTATATAATATATAACAAAATATGACAGATTAAAACCCTGACACCTAAAATTTAAGGAAGTGGAAAAGGCATTGCAATAACTCCCAGTCTTGGGAGCTTGATTAAATGGCCAAAGGATATGATTAGACAGTTTTTGAAAGAGGAACAAATTGTTATTGATGGCTCAGAAGAATGCTCAACTTCACTAATAATCAAAGAAGACACAAATCCAAACAACTCTGAGTTACCAGCTTTCACCTTACCAAATTGGCAACAATCATTAAAGCTCACAAAACTCTGCTGGGGCCACTGTGGAAAAAAACAGGCCCAGTCATTTACTGCTGGTAGAATTGGAAGCAAGCAGAATCTTTTTGCAGAGAAGTCTCTTAGTACATAGTAAAAATTACAAAAATGATCATACCCCACACCATTTGACCTAATAAATCCAGTCTGGGGAATACGCATCAAAAGTTATCAAAAGCCAGAAAAAGAAAGAAGGAAAGCTTTGTTAAACAGTCTTCCTGGTAGCATTGGATGTCATTACAGAAACTGGAAATCAGTTAAATGGCTAACAGAGGAATGTTTAAATAAATTGTGGTACACAAATGTAGTGAACTGCTGCAGTGCAATTAAGACCACAGACATGAGGCATACAAAGAAATAGGGGGAGAACTTGAGTGTTGCAGGGTGAGGGGGGAAAAAACCCCAAAACATAGTCTACACTGATTCTAAGTGTATAAGAAGAAAAGTCAATGAAAGTGGACAAGCTAAGATCCAGTGGGAACTTAAGGGAGTGACTGAAAAATTGTTATACTTTATTCACTGAAATAAATTTGTTTAAATGTAAGTAGTTGCTAATAAAATTTAGTTGATTGTATTTTTATAAGGATTATAAATAGAATGGATTTTGGAGTGGTAGAGGGATCAGCTAAGGTTTGTTCACTGTTCTGTGCTCTCTTCTCCATAGGGTTCCCAGCCCCGTGCTCATTAAGAAGTTCTCTGATACCTCTAAAGCTTTTATGGACATTCTGTCAGCTCAGGCCAACTCTGGTTCCACAGCAGCACTCCGATGGGTGATTTTTCCAGCTACCATTCGTTCTCTGGAGGGGATTTTGCCCTTGAGGAGATAGCAGAGGGAGGCTGTTTAATGGGGAAGTGGAGGTGGGGTGTGGAGCTTAGAAGAGGGATTTGGGTCCTTTGTTTCTCTGGGATTGAAAGCTTAGAGATTCTTTTCCTTCTCAGGCTCTGTCAAGAGCCCTGGAGCAGGACTTTCTGTGTGTATTGGGGTGTTCTGTATGACTGGGCGGATGGTGCTTATGTTGCTGTGTCTTTACAAGGTCCTCTCCTGCCTGGCTACCCTCCTGCGAAAGCAGGACCTGATGGCCTGGAGCTACCCTGTCACTCTACAGGTTTATCATGGGCTGCTGAGCTTTGTTGTCCATGCCAAACCCAAGGTGAGCCTCTGGACTGGAATGAGGCGATATGGAGATTCTCTCATTGCGCACCTGGTCTCAGACGTGTGGGACTGGTGCTTGGGAGTGTCTGACTGGAATTGGGGGTGATAAGAGGATTCCCCCTGCATCTTGAGAGCCTCCTTTGGGGGTCATGTTTAATTGAACTGTTTTTTTTTGTTTTTTGGTTTTTTTTTTAAACTAAGTATGGGAAACAGTTTAATATTTTATGATGTGGAACCACAGTCCATGGCAGACAGGTCCCGTTGCATTACCCAGGCAGTCTTCAGGGATGCACAAAAGGACTAGTCCCATTTGAAACCAGGGAGATAGGAAAAGTGAGAAGGTTGTTCAGTTGGAACACTGCAGATGTCTGCAGGATCTGAAGGGTTCACAGACAGTGTCTCTGCCGGAAGTTCGCACCTTCCCTGAATCCTTTTTGTACTTAGAGTAACAGCGTACCCTATGATTGTCTTCTGAGTTTATAAATGATATTTTTGACGCCCCCCATGGCTTGTCAGCTCCTCGAAGGCGGGGCCGTGTGTTCCATGGTCTTTTCTATAGAGCACGGTGGAGAACTCCTGAAGAAATGCTCAGATCCTCGTTGGCTGATGCTGCCCCTTCGGGGTGCCAGCCAGGCACTAACCTGGCCTCCTCTACTCTGTTGCTGTTTTACAGGTCCGGAAGGCAGCCCAACACGGGGTGTGCTCTGTCATCAAGGGCAGTGAGTTCCTCTTTGGAGATAAGCCCCCCACGCATCACCCGGCTGCCCTCTCCACTGCTAAATTCTGTATCCAGGAGATTGAGAAGTCTGGAGGTAGAGCATCCCAATCTAGGAACAAGGCAGTGCCACCCCTGGCAGCTTGTCTCATCTGAATGCCTGGGTTCAGGGAGCCGAGGGAGAGTGACCTGAGCAGAGTGTGGGAGGTGGGAGGTGGGGGGCTGAGGGGAAGCGGGTCTCATGCTACTGCTTCTCTGCCAGGCTCCAAGGAGGCCACCACCACCCTGCACGTGCTCGCCCTGCTCTCTGAGCTGCTGCCGTGTTTCCCAGTGGGCATGGTGAAGAGTTGCAGTGAGACGTTGCTGAGGGTCATGACTCTCAGCCATGTGGTAAGGCGAGAACTCCCAGCCAGGGTGGGCCGGGTCAGGGGCTAGTGAGGGTGGCAGAAGAACCGGACTTCTTGTCCGAGATCTCCTCACCACAAACGGCGAAGGGCTTGAAAGTTGTGTCAGAGAAGGTTCAACTGAAGGAATTCTGGAGGTGTCACGCCTGGTGGTGCAAGAGATGGCAGTGGGACAGGATGGCCATATTCAAGTGTTTGAATTGTGGAAAGGAATTAGACTTCTTTTTGGCCGCGGAGAGAGGGGCTCAGAGAGCAATGGGTACAAGTAGCAAGGGGCAAAGTTAGGCCTCATGTAATAATGTCATTCAGAAGTGGAATGACCTGCCTTATTAGAGGTAGTCAGACAGGCTCCATGGCCGCTGCAGGCTGCAGAGGGATGGTTCTTGTTCAGTAGCTGTGGGGTCCTTTCAGATCTGAGATTTTGGGATTCTGCTTCACAGTCAAGTTAAGGAAGTTAAGGAAACACTCTTGCTCACAGTGGTGTGCAAACTCAACAACCCTGAGGCTTCCCCTCTCTTCTGATTATAGAATTCAAGCTGATTTCTCTCATCTCTTAATCTGAGACCCGAGAATATTGGAAAAGTTAGGCTTGTGATGGCAAAATGCCATAAACATCCCTGTTAGGGGCAGCTAGGTGGCTCAGTGGAGGGAGCACTGGCCCTGGAGTCAAGAGGACTTGAGTTCACATAACACTCACTAGCTGTGTGACTCTGGGCAAGTCACTTAACCCTAATTGCCTCCCCCCCCCCCCCAAAAAATGTCCCGGTTACCCAACTGCATGCTGTTATAGTGACTTCCTGTATCTCTGAAGAAAACATCTTGGGGGGTCCAGGGCACTGGTCCCATTGAAGTGCCCAGATCCTATGTTCTTAGCCTGAATGTCAGGGCCTGCAAGTTGGGGGTGAGGGATCGGCTCAGTACCTGGGCTCTGCTTGCCTGTCCGCTTCTCACTTTTTCTGAATTGCTTGTTTCTCAATAGTCCCTGACTATTGAGACTGAGCCTATATGTCCTCCCCAGTTGGTGACCGCCTGTGCCATGCAAGCTTTTCACAGTCTCTTCCGTGCCAAACCTGGTCCTGACATCCTTTCGGCAGAACTCAATGCCCAGATTATCACGGTGAGGCTCCGGGGAGGCGGTTTTGGTCTTGGGTTATTGCCTTTGACGAGTGGGCTGGGTGAGGAGGGTGATGGGAGCGCTGTCACTTTGAAAGGGTTGTGCAGAGAAGTTGGGCTTGCCTCGCAGCTCGCATCATTGAGGACAGGAAAGGCTTGCTCTGGGGGGGTGGAGGGGCTGCCAGGGCTGCCAGCCCTGAAGAATGAAAGGCACACTTGGCTGGCAGACAAGGCAACACAAACTATCCCCTGCCATTTTGAGGAAGGGAAGGGGGCTTGACCTCATGGACCAGAGAATGTACAGGGTGTCCTTGAAACAGTCAGGGCCAGCCTTGTGATATGAGGGAAGCTCTGGTGTCCTCAGAAGACCAGAAGGAGTCCTTTGGAGAGAAACGTGGGCAGCGTGTTTTACTGAGGAAACAGAGTATCCAGCCTGGTTAGGAGGCCTTCAGATGAAATGAGAAAATGTCAGTGATCCTCCTGAATGTGAATTTGCAGTCACTGCCTCATAGAATTCATTATGGCATATTAAATAGGCATATTAAATTTTTAATTTCATTAAAAAACACTGCAATCCCCAGAAGAACCCAAATATCTTCTAAGAGGTTATGGCAGTATTAACTTCTGACCATACCAGGAGTTAGAGACAAGGAGTTCCTATTAGAGGACTTCCCTCAGGATATTTGGTAACAATGTGCATAAAAATATTTTAAAATAAAGTTTATTTTTGCAAACAAAGACAAAATTTAAAGTTATGCTTTTTAATATAAAAGCTTTTAAATGAATAACATAGACAAAGATAAATAAATGCGATCTATTAGTGTTATTCAGATCTGGTTTCCTGAGACTAATATTTGTGCAACTTAATTGTGAAACCATCTGTGCTTAGTGGCCAGTTGGTACTTGACCAGACCTAGTACAGGTCTAGAATAGGCCCAGATTGCTGAAGCAGGCCCTTGGGTCTGCTTTGGTTCACTCCTACACTTGACAAAGGCGGCTGGAGGCTCAGGGGAAGGAGGATTAGTTTGGTGTGGTATGAATTTGGGTTCATAGGCTTATTGGCCTGGTTTTACCCTCATCTTGCTGTCTCTAGGCTCTGTATGACTACATTCCCAGTGAGAATGACTTACAGCCCCTGCTTACCTGGCTTACGGTAATGGAGAAGGCCCATGCTAACCTGGTCAGGTAGGCACGGGGGCATCTATCCAGGCATGCTACCTCCAGAGGAGAGGGGGAAGAGGGCGGGGCAAAAAAGACCAGTGAACTAAAGCTGGAGCCTTTTCCTAAAATGAAAACTAAGTCTTTTTCAGTAGTTAAAGGGGAAGAGGCAGATCACCAGATCTCGTTTTGTCTATTTCATGTGCCTTCCTGGCTAAATCTCTTGAGGAAATGGAGAGTTGGCTTAGGTTGGGGCAGTGGGAAAGACCCTAGATGGTGTTCTGCACCTTCCTGAGCCCTTTGAGAAAGTCACTTCTCCTGTGGACATCACTATTTCTTCATCTTTGTGAAAGGAAGGGTCCCTTTCAGGTGTCAAATTCTGTGATTCTGTCATTGTTCTCCATGCCCACCCTTAAGGAAAAGTGCTGGAAATGGAAAAAAACTTTTGAAGTATTCAACAGAAGGGGAAAAGAAGGAAAGGGGGTTAAATTAGATTAGAAAACTTGAGTTTTCTTCTAGTGCTCTGATTCTTTTTTGCTTGCTTAGGAAGTGCCGGCCTTAGTTTCATAGCCCTTGGAGCCCAGAAACATTGAAACTTTGTCTTTTCAGGTTGCAGCGAGACCTTGGAATGGGACATTTACCTCGATTTTTTGGGGCTGCAATGAACTGTCTTCTTTCACCCCATACACAGGTGGCGACAGCTGCCACCCAGAGCCTCGAGGTATTCTCACCTGGGTGCTGCTGACCAGGGAGGGGGGTCTGTGATACCTGTGACACAGAGCCCTCTCCCCACATTAGTGCGGTTCATAGCTGTCAGCTGTCATGTGTCATGACAGCCAGGTGGTGAAGGATATTGCATCCTGTCTATTGTTAATCACCCAGCACTCATACTTGCCCCTTCTGCCTAAGTTGGACCCCCTGGAAACATCGGGATGGGTGGTTTGCCCCTCAAGGAGGGCAGGCATGTTGTGGGGACGGGGAGTGTTGGTCACAGAAGTCTGCTGACTGATACCTTGACCCCCCCATCCTCCAGGTGCTTCTCACAGAGTGTCTTGCTCCCCACATGGCTGACATCGGCCCAGTGTCCTCTTCTGCCTCTGGGCCCCCCCTCTATGTTGCTAGGATGTTCAGGTGAGAACACAGGATGAAATGGAGTCCCCTGAGGGCGCAGGGATGTTCTATAGAGAAACTTTTTTCAACACTTGTCTTGGCTGTGAACCTGCAGGGCTGCTCTGAGAGTGTGGTTAAGGGACCGGTGAGGGTTTGCACCCCATCCAGCCATGGATCTGTCCCTTTATGACTTCTCCCTCCCTTTCCCCAGCATTAAAGAGAATGTACATATGATGGTACATGCAGCCACGCCACTTCCCTGGCCAGAAATTGGCAAAAGAGGGAGAAACCCAGAACATTGGGATACTTGGTGTGTTTCATTTCCAGGCTTAGGATCCTCAGAATCTCTTCTGCTTATCTGAGATTGATTTACATTAAGGTTTTTCCTGAGTGTTCTGCTTTCCTCCTTTTGATTTGATCTTTCACATGGTCTGACCTAAGTCTGGTTTCTCTAGGAAGGATACCACATTTGCTAAGACAGTCTGTCAGGAAAGCCATTGACCCTAAACCCTTCTATAAACAGGCTTTGGAAATCAGAACGTAGCCTCTTCTTATTTTTTAAATTCTGAACTTAACCTTAAATAAAATGGGCATTTCCATATACAGAGTAGAACAGGTAAAGAGGACTGCATGTGAGTTGTTGGGGCAGGAGGGACGCTGCGGCCTTACTCTCCGATGGTGTCTCCTGCTCAGCTCCGTTTCTTGGGCACTGTGACCCCATCCGGAGCAGCAGTGTCTGCTTATGTCACTTGCCTGATGTGTTTGGGTCTTACCTGACAAGTTGCTTACTCCGTGGCAGGGCTGTGGAAGAAGGCCTGACATACAAGTTTCATGCGGTGTGGGACTTGGTGCTGCAACTGCTCCGCAGCTTCTTTGAGACCTGTGGGAAACAGGCTCACCTCATAATGAAGAAGGTGAGTTGGCTGGATGCAGGCTGGGAGGGCTCCTTCGGGGGTGCCGTGGTTTAGTTCTCTGTGGAGGTGGGGAGGCTTGGGTCATCTGTTCTGATAACGAGGACATAAGAGGTCTGCTGGGCCGTCTTGGCTTCGGGTTCTTGACCTGATGACTTTGACATTTCAGGAAACAGTTCTTAAGGAAGTCCCTTGAGTAATGGAGACTCCCTAGCTAGCTTGGCTAGGGACCTTGACTGCTACCAGGCTACCTGATAAGATCGGAGTTTAGGGAAACTGCAGAAAAACCATGCAAGAGTGATAGGAACCTGGCCCCTGAGGGCTGCTTACAGGGGCAGCTTCTCTGGTAAATCATAGGATTGGGTTTTTTAAGGTGGATGTAGTATTGTTCTAGGCTAGGGGTGGGGAACCTGTGACCTCAAGGTCACATGTGGCCCTCTAGGTTCGTAGGTGCAGCCTTTTGACTGAGTCCAGGTTTTACAGAGCAAATCCTTTTATTAAGGGGATTTGTTCTGTGAAGTTAGGATTCAGTCAGAGGGCCGCACTTGAGGACCTAGTGGACTACATGTGGCCTTGAGGCCACAGGTTCCTCACCCCTATTCTAGGTCATTCCAGTTATCAGGGGGCAACGTACTGGTAAAACACCAATTGAAAGAAAAGCAGGAAGCTGGTGGGCAGCAGTCCCTCGCAGATGCCCATTGCGTGGGCAGCCGGCATCTGACTGAGAGTAGGAACAGGCATGGCAGTGACCCTCTTCTCAGCTGCTGGAGCAGGCTTCTCTTGGTGGTCTTTGTGACGGGTCTTTTCCCTGTATTTTACCTCTTTCTCAAGTGCCTTCAGTCCCTCTGCGACTTGCGCATGTCCCCACACTTCCCTCACAAACTGGCTCTGGACCAGGCAGTGGGAGCTGCAGTGGCCAGCATGGGCCCTGAGGTTGTGCTTCAAGCTGTGCCATTGGAGATTGATGGCTCTGAGTAAGTGTGGCCCTTGGAAGTAAGGGAGGGCAACTCGAAGCAGGGCACTCCCTCTGTGGGGGACGGATCCGTACCCAGCCAGGGGACATCTCGTCTCATCCTAGTGTCCTTTCCCTCTGCTCTGTTCAGAGCGGTGGTAACTAACGCTGGACATTGGCCGTGGCAGTGACCCGGGTACCGGTTCCATTTTCTGCCAGCTGCCTGGCAGTCTTGGTTTCATGTAGTTGGGGTGGGGGGGGTGTCTTTCTCTCTCCAGAGAGAACTTGGATTTCCCTCGGAGCTGGCTGCTGCCCGTCATTCGTGATCATGTCCGTAACACGCGGCTGGGCTTCTTCACAGGCTACTTCCTGCCCCTGGCAGCTACGCTGAAGAACAGAGGTAACAGACCTCTCTCTGAGGGGCGGGTTTGGTTATCCGATGGGTTTGGAAGGGTCAGCCAGGATCACACATCTTGTTTTTCCTGCTGTAGCTACAGAACTGGCCCAGGAGGGGAGGACCATGGAGTCCAAAATCTATGACACTCTTCAGTGGCAGGTGAGGGGCAGACGGTCCTCCACGGCTTGGGCTGTGGGCCTGGGAAACGAGAGGAGCTGCTCCCGCGGGTGACGCCATTTCTCTTCCTGCCCTCCCCAGATATGGACCCTGCTGCCTGGATTCTGTACCAAGCCCACTGACGTGGCTGCCTCCTTCAAAGGGATTGCGAGGACTCTGGGTGCAACCATCAGCGAGCGCCCAGATCTGCGGCTCACGGTGTGCCAGGCACTACGCATGCTGATCACCAAGGGTTGTGAGGCAGGTATGGTTTCTGCCTCTCCAAAGCCAGTGGCTCAGGCTGACCTGTCTTCCCAGGGAGCTCCCTTCTGCCCTTCTCCCTCAAAGAGCGGGTGCTTGTCCTTTTTTAAGGGAAAAGGTGAAGGCACTGGCCGTCAGGCTGAGCATGGCTCAGTGTTCATGCATGTGTTTTCATTTAGTTGGTCAGTTGGCATTTGAGTAATCAGTGAAATGCAGAGAAGTGCGGCATGCAGTCCCTGCTTTCCAGGAGCGTTAGGGGCTCCTGGCCTTCCAGCCCGCCCTGGCTGTTTCCTCTATTTCCGCAGTGTCACCATCTGAAGGAGAGGACCCTGGGTTAGGTGGGAGGGACCTCAGGGCTCCAATCCAATGGGTCTCTGAGGTTAATGAAGCTCCTTCTATCCCCTCTTTGTGCTCTGTGGTGGTCTCTGGAGCAGAAGTGGACCGTGCTGAAGTGAGGCGCTTTGCCAAGAACTTTCTGCCAATACTGTTTAATGTGTATGGACAGCCTCTGGCGGATGGGGAAAGCGCCGCTCCCCGGAGGGCTGTGCTGGACACCGTTAAAACTTACCTCACTGTCACAGAGACAGAGGTGAGCTTGGGCTGAAGGACCTTGGAGTCCTGGGTGAGTGGGCTAGAGGAAAGAGAAGAGGGCAGTGCCCAAGGGTGGGGGCTTGCTGGTTGGAGTGAAGGCAGTTTAGAAGTCAGGAGCTGTATTCACCCCTTGGGGCCCTGCTGGGGCTGGGCCTCCATGTGGGCAGAGAAGGCTACTAGCATTGCTGAGCTAGGCTCTGAGTGGTTTTCTGCTTCCAAAGCCCTTGGGGTATAGGTTGCAAGTAGATCATCTCAGGATTTAAGGCTAGGCTGAGGGCTGAGGGAAGGGGCCTGGGGACCATGGCTCCTCGGTATTGCATTTCTCCATGGTTCTGCAGCTGGTGAATGGTTTCCTGGAGAAAGCCAGTGAGAAGGTGCTTGATCCTGCCAGCTCGGACTTCACCAGGTAAATGGGCTAGAAAGGGGTAGCTAGGTGGCGCAGTGGATAGAGCACTGGCCCTGGATTCAGGAGGACCTGAGTTCAAATCTGGCCTCAGACACATAACACTTACTAGCTGTGTGACCCTGGGCAAGTCACTTAACCCCATTGCCTAAAAAAATAAAAAATAAATGGACTGGAAGGTGTTCTCATTCCTGGTCCATGGTGATAGGTACGTCCCTCCTTCTTCAGGGCCTCCAAGACATGGAAGCCAGAGGAGGCTCGTTTCTGTGGAGCCCTCAGGGTTGTGAGGCAGGGCCACTTGGATTGGGGAGCCAGGGCATTTGCCAGGTGGCCACAGGTCATGTTCCTTCTCTCCCTCTGCCACCACCCCAGCTAGCCCAACAATAAACCCTACATACTGATTGTGTCTTTTTCTGCCTAAACAGACACTCTATCCTGGATTTGATTGTGGCCATGGCACCCCATGCTGATGAAGCCTCAATCAGCAAGCTGTACAATACAATCTCTCCCTACCTAGAGGTGAGTTTCTGCAGGGGCCTGTTTTATGGAAGATGTCAGGGCCAGAATGGATGAGGCACAGGAGCCCCTGGACCATGGGAAGAAATGAGGCACAGCAGCCCCCAGACCCTGCTTGGGGAGGGGCTGAGGCACAGGAGCTCCTGGACCATGGGGAGAAATGAGACAGGGGAGCCCCCTGACCATGCTTGAGTCTTGAGAGATGAGGGATTCCCATGGGAAGGAAGGGAGCACCAAAATTAAATTGTGTTGTGGGGGCATCATGAAGACTGACCTTTTCACTATTTTGACACAATAGACATTTGCAGCACTTAAATTCCCCTAAAAAGTATGTTTTCTTGAAAATAGTTATGATAGACTACCCAGTACCAGTACTATGATTGCAGCTGATAGTACTATGTCGCTTATCAGCCACTGATTGTTAACAGAGAGGAAGGACTTTAGTGGTATGTTACTAATATTGTCCATTGTATTTGACTCACGTTTCCTTGTCTTGTGTTATCTTTTTATGCTCTAATATTGTAGTAATTTGATAGGATTTTTTTGATTCTGCTTTCTTTATTCTGCATTACTCCATACTGGTCTTCTACTGTTTCTCTGACTTCATTGTTATTCCTTATGGTCCAGTAATATTCCATTATTCATGTGTTATAGTTCCGCAGTTGGGGAATATCTGGACAAACTGGTAAATGTTCCTTATTCGTGACCTGCCTGTCTTTTCTACTTAGAGTAAGGAGCACACCATGCAGAAAAAGGCCTACAGGGTGCTGGAGGAAGTGTGTGCCAGCACGGAGGGTCCTGGAGAATGCTTTGTTCAGAACCACCTGGGAGACCTGAAGAAAACCCTCCTGGACTCCCTCCGGAGCACTGCCTCCCCAGCCAAAAGGGTGAGAAGCGTGGGGGCTGTGGCAGAGATGGGAAGAAACAGGGGTTAGGGGTAGGGCAGAGGACCGCTCGTACAAGGAGACAAGCTTGGGGCCGGTCCCTGGGAGCGAGACTTCCAGCCATTGTACGGGAACTGGAGGCAAAGCCAGACGCCCTCCTCTATTGCCTTCCTTCCTCTAGCCCCGTTTGAAGTGCCTGATTCATATCATAAAGAAACTGACGGCAGAACATGAGGAGTTTATCACTGCCCTGGTTCCTGAGGTAGGGCCATGAAGAATTGTGGGGAGGGGTGACCCTGGAGCATGGAGCAGCAGGAGGCCAGGCCAGCCACTCTCACGGGCTCCCACAGGGCACAGCTGCCTGATCATTTCAAGTAGGGAAGCCCAAAGACCTCTGGTGGCTGTGGGTGACCCGGGTGGTCTGCTGCAGGTGATTCTGTGCACCAAGGAAGTGTCAGTGGGAGCTCGGAAGAATGCCTTTGTGCTGCTAGTGGAAATGGCACGTGCTTTCCTTCGGTTTGACTCTAACCAAGAAGGTGAGCAGGGCCCTGTCGGTCTGTGGAGGGTCTGGGCTTATTGGCTCAGCGGGGAGCGGGTCTCAGAAGCATCTTTGTTTTCCTTGGATATCGTTCTGGACGTTCACCTGAGTTCTTGGCTGTCCTGGAAGACAAAGGACAGGAGGCTTCCTCTTCACGCTGGTCCCACTGAGTCCAGGGGCCAGAACTGATGGCCTCCTTGGTCTGAGGCCACCTTCATAGAGTCAGCGTTCCTTCACACGGAGGTTTGCCTCTTGGTCCATGGTGAGACCTGGACAGGAAGGAGAAAAGTCTGTGGCCTCACATGGAAGATGATTCCACTCTGGTTTCTGTTGTCACAGCTGCTTTGCAGAGATACATGCTCCTGATCTACCCTGGCCTCGCGGGCTCTGTCACCATGATCAGCTGCAGCGTCCTGGCCCTCACCCACCTCCTCTTCGAATTCAAAGGTAAGGGCTGTTCTTTCTACAGGGTACTGCCGAGGGGGAGAGCAGGTAGAAGCAAGGAAAGGGGGGAGGTGGGTAGAATGTGACATATCTCAGTGATGGTAGCAACACCAAGTTCTCTCCCCTCTGCCTCATTCACAATGAGCTGGGCTTCTGACTCTTGTGTCTCCCAGTGGGTCAGATTTTCCTCTCTCCATCCTCCTCATGGCAGAGGAGGTGGTGGATGGAGAGGGGGAAGGATCACTGACATGTAGACGGGGGCCTTTGCTGCAGGTCTGATGGGAACAGACACCATAGAGCAGTTGCTGAAAAACGTGTGCCTGCTTCTGGCTTCCCGTACCCGCGATGTGGTCAAGTCTGCCCTGGGCTTCCTAAAGGTGGTGCTGCTGGTCATGGACATGACTCATCTGGCCAGGCACCTGCAGCTCATGGTAAGTGCCAGCCTAGGCATCATGGTGGTGCAGCTTGAGGGAGCCATAAACCAAGTCTTGGAGTCCTGGCTTCCCTGTATGCTCCCCAAGGGACGACGTGGGCGCTCTCCTGTTCTGCCTGGCACCAGGAGGTTGCCCTGGGTGTCACCTACTGGTGCTGGAGAAGGTTCTGATCCTTCATCTGGTCCCTGGACAGCCCTGCCTTCCTGGGCATTTCGTGTTCCCCATTTTGTCATAGGATGGCAATGTTAGGCTCAGAACAGATGGATCCTCTCATCTTATAGATGATTGTGGCAGGCCCACAGGCCTACTTGAGTGATTTAGCCAGGATCACAGGCCTAGAAGTCTGGTTCTCCCGACCCCTAGCTCAGAGCTCTTTCTGAACAGACTTCATTTACATACTTGTCCTCTCCCTGGACCCTTGCCAAGTCAAGTCAGTTCACCCTGTCCCTACTTAGGTGAACACTGTGTGCCCAGCATTGTGTGAGGCACCGTCCACGAGGGCTGCAGAAGAGATGGGAGTGATCTGTACAGTGGAATCAAGCACAGTGTGATACAGAACTTAAAACACAGTGGATGATCTAAGGAGGACCAGATGACTGGGCTAGAGCAGTCCGGGCAGACTTCATGGAGGAGGGGGACCTTGTGCTTGCTAAGGAGAAAGGATAGAGAACTTGGAGGCTGCCTTGGGTCCCTTACAAGCCAATCGAGGCAGCAGGTTGTGCTCAGTAGTGCCTGCTTATGATGGGCGTGTAACAGCAGTTAAAGGGCACTGTTAATAGGGCCACCGGTTCAGGGTCCAAGAATCAGAACCGTCTGCTTGCAGTCTTAGCTGCTTCGGTCAGAGGCAGCCTCTTGTTTCACTGTCTGCCCTGAATGTGACCTCATGTTCCCACCCTAACAGATGGAAGCCATCGGGAGCCTGACCGATGACATGCGCCGCCATTTCCGAATGAAGCTCAGGAACCTGTTTACTAAATTTATCCGCAAGTTTGGGTCAGTAAGGATGGCTGGGCTGGAAGAAGGGACTGAAGAGGGGCTTTGGGGGCAGTGAGATGGCCGTGGAAGCACCTCGTACCTTGGGCCAAGACTCGCTGCCCACGGCTCCCGGGTCCAGGGAGCGGGTGTGGTTCTGTGTCCAGGTGGGGACGCTGACTGGCCTGCCTTCCTTCGCACCTTAGATTTGAGCTGGTCAAGGGGTTGCTCCCCGAGGACTACCACAGAGTCCTGGTGAACATCCGCAAGGCGGAGGCGCGGTCCAAGAAGCAGCGGGCCTTGCAGCAGGCGTCCGTGGAAGAGGAGGATGGCCCTCCTCAGGTCAGAGGAGACAGGTAAGCGCACACCCAGACCCAGCTGTCCTGCCTTGGGCAGTGTCGCCAGCTGTAGGCGGGGGACGGGGCACATCCTTCCTTCCCTCTCTGTCTAGCATTGAAGAGATTTTGGCCGACTCGGAGGACGAGGAGGAGACCGAGAAGGCAGCCAAGGGCAAGGATCAGAAGAAGCTGGCACGACAGAGGAGCAGGGCATGGCTGAAAGAGGGTGGTGGGGATGAACCCCTCAACTTCCTGGATCCCAGGGTGTCCCAGCGAGTCCTAGGTAAGGAGAAGAGGGCCTGCCTGCCGTGGGGGTCAGAGGGTGGTCCTTGTGGAGGGGGCGCCTCCCTCTCCAGCCCCCTTCACTTCCCAGGCCTGGGCGGATGCTGCTCTGGGGACCTTGTAGAGCCCTTGTAGAGGTGGAGCACCCGGGGGGCAGGTGAAGGTGTGATGGCGGAGAGAGACGTCTTGTGTCTGTGGGTTGTTCTCCCCTCATGCCTCCCCTCCCGCCCACGCTCTCTCCCAAGCCACGCAGCCTGGCGTGAACCCAAAGAGGAAGGGCCATGACTTCAAACTCAGTGCGGACGGGCGCCTGATCATCCTGGAGGAGGGAGAGCAAGAGGAGGAAGACGGCGCAAAAGGTGTGTGGAAGAGTGGCCAGAACGCCTCCTGAAGGCGGCTGCCCAGTGCTGTCCTCTCCCATCTCCTCACCTTGGCGCAGGAGGGGGAAGGGAGGGAAGGAAGGAGAGGAGGGGGGTGTGCAGCCCCAGCATCGAGATGCTGTTTGTTGTTTGGCCCCAGGTGCAGATGACGAGATGACTGACCTCAAGCAAGAAGTGCACGTCCTGAGCGTGAGTGTCATTGCCATCGTGACGGGGGCGCCTTGGGTCTCCTGCCTGCGCTCGGCACGGCGAGAAGTCGTCTGTAGCCGGATCAGCCGGCGCTGTCCGGAAGCTTCTTCAGCCCCAAACATTGGGGTGGCGGGCGCACTTACCATTTTATGGCTGTCAGTTCCCCGAAGGCCGCTAGGCCGAAAGAGTGGAGTTGTGCCCGGATTCAGACCCCAGGCCCCCTGACTCCGGATCGGTGCCCATTCCACTGAACCCCCTGCTGCTTCCATTTCCTAGCATCAGGGTGGAGGGATGGGCAAACTGGGGGCCCTGGTGTGTCTTCAGATGCGGGCCCTCGGTCACTTTAGGAGCGAGAGGCAGAGGACAAAACTCTCAATCTGTGCTGTAGGAGTAGGAGGCCCATTTGTGGCGTCACGCCCTCCAAGAGGCCGATGTGCCGGCAGGGTGCTCAACCACACTTGTGAATTGGTTGATCACGATAGTTTACATAGCTTGTGAAAAAGTGTGTGTATATGTGTGTGTGTGTGTGTGTGTGTATGCGTACGTGTGTGCGCATGCACGCCATCTGCAGAAGGTCTTTGTGCTTATTTCTGGGATCAAAGCTCAAAGATTGGGAACCACTGCTCTGGAAGCCGCCCTCCCCTCCCTTGTGCTCCCCCTCTGAGGGTGCCTCTTTTCTTCGTGTAGATCTTGTGTGTTACCTGGTTGTTTACATGCTGCGTCCCCCGTGGGCTCTTTGAGAGCAGGAGTGTGCTTTTCCTTTCTTTTATATCTCCGGTGCTTAGCCCAGGGCCTGGCACGTCAGCAGTGCAGAGGAAATACTTGCTGACTGACAGACGAGAGACCCCAGACCCTTGTGGTGGGTGCCTGGTCTGCTTATCTTCCTCTCTGTTCACAGAAAAAAGCCCGAAAACTCAAAGTTTGGCAGGACCGTGATGATGACGAGCCGGAGCCCCCAACCCAGTACAAAGGTGAGAAAATCTTGGGCCTCTCCTGTTCTGTCCAAAGGCAAGACAGCAGGTCCCCCAAGCTTTGTTGGGCTGGTGAGAGAGGTGAGGCGGGGCTATTGGGGATAGAGAAGGGCCACAGGATACAAAGAGTGAGGAAATGGGGCCTTTTCACACATAAGTCCCAGGGCACAATGGTTCCCCATGACCAAACCCCTCATTCCCACTGAGGCTGACCATGGCATTCTCAGATCACCCGTAGGAAAAGTTGGACCTGTTCTTCCTCGCAATGGCACAGGCTCCTAGGAGTGAAAGCTGCCCTCCTTGGTGCAAACCTTTGGGCAGCTGGGCATCCCCTTCCCATCCTTCTGCCCACTCTAGAGGCAGAGGCCCAGTGTGCGAGGTCACCAAGAGGATCTCTCAGCCTGTTCCCTGTTTGACTTCTTGTTCCTTGGGGGCTGTTGCTGAAAGAGCACTGTTCATAATTGTTTGAGTTTTGCTTTCGCATCGCCTTAAGGTAGAATTTCGGGGATGCTTTATTCTCGTTTCTTAATGGCCTCATGGTATAGCAGAAACAGGGCTTGAAAACAGCCATTAGAAAATAATTGCCGAGTCAGGAAAGCCGGACTCAGGCCGTGCTGCCACTGACCCTACATGAGTCACTCTTCTTCTCAGGGCCTTGGTTCCCCATTTGTGAAAATGAGCAGCTTGGCCTGCTAGGATCCTGCATGGCTTGGGAATTGAGTGACTCTGGGATCCCACGTAGCTTCTTCAGGCCCCAGAATGAGACCTCATCCTTTTTAAAGGGACTCTGTAGATTGGGCTGTGGTCCCAGGTGACAAATCCTGAGTTTTTAGAAAGTAGGTGAGCCACTTAACCAGTGGTAGGACCTTGGATAAATCATTGGGAGAAACTGAGGTCCTAAGAGAGGACTAGGGCTTGTTCTAGGCCCTACACAAGTAAGAGTCAGAACGGGGCCTCAAACCCAGGCCCTCTGATTGGATGGAACAAGCATTTATTAAGCACCTACTGCCTGCCAGACGCTGTGCTAAGTGCTTTGCAGATATTATCTTCATTTGGTCCTCACAACAACCTGAGAGGTCGGGGCTATTACTATTTTGCAGATGAGGAAGCTGCGGCAGACAGGTTTAGTGACTTGCCCAGGGTCACACAGCTAGTAAGTGCCTGAGGCCAGATTTGATCTCGGGTGCCCCAGACTACTCCAGGCCCAACGCTCTGTGCTTTGAGTGGCCGGCTGCCTCTAATTTTGAGCTCACGGTTGCTTCCTCTAAGTCACCTGCGGTGCCTGCCCCACAGGGCAGGTAGTCAGGGGGTCAGAGGAGACGAGCCGAGGCTTCGTGCAGATGTGACGTGCTGCTGTTGATGGGATTTCTAGAGGGCAGAGAATCGGGGTAATGATGCTCACGGCAGGCATTTGGGCTTTTGGGTTTTGTCGGTGTTCAGAGGAGCCAGCTTGTGAAAATGGTGGTTTCCGAGTCAGCAGAGCACAGTTCACTCCGTGGCGCCTCTGTTGAGCCTCATTGTTCATCCTTGGTCCTTGGGTCAGAGTGCCCGCCGCTGCTTGTGCTGAGCCCTCAGAAGGTGCCTTCTGAATTCGGCCCTTGGGGAGAGGCGGCTGTTCTGACTTTGTACTCAGAGATGGTCTTGTTCTCTTTCCAGCCGGAGGGTCTGGAATACACCGACCGCTAGCCAAGAAGCCTGGGGCTGATTACAAGGCCAAGGTAAGCGCTGCTAACGCACAGTGTCCATTAGTGCCGATTCAGGGTAAGTGAGGTTAGAGAAGGAGAAGGGACGACTGTGTAATTCTTCTCCTGGGGATGATTTTTGTCTTCATGCACCATTGGCCTCATTACCTTGCTTGGACAAAGGTCACTGCCAAAGTACAAGGGTGAGAAGGGGGTGCCCGGTTTTGTGTCAGGTCTGGGTTCCTGAAAATGTTTTACTTACCTGGGAAATAAGAGGGAAGGGAGACTGGGAGGCAGGGTTCTCGAGTCCTGATCCAAGATGAAAGGAGAGGAGCTGTGTGTCAGCTGAGAGCTGGAAGCCCTGGGGTCTTCCTGGGCAGAAGGGGAAACCGTGTCTGGAGAGGGGCAGGAGGTTCAGGCAAGGCTGAAAAGGGGCTCGCGGCCTGACTCTGGTCCTCAATGTCTGTTTTTCTCCGGCTGAGCAGAAAGGAAGAGGTGATGTGAAAAAGAAAGGTCGCCTTGACCCCTACGCCTACATCCCCCTGAACAGAGCCAAGCTCAATCACAGGTATGGCCTAGCAGCCAGACTGGTGGGTGGGGGCGGAGCATGGCTGCAGCCTGTGGGTGGAGGCCCAGCCCTTACCTCTGAAGACCTTGCTAATAGGAGTAAGAACACGCGGAGCAAACAGGCTTTTTCAGCAGTGAGTGAGGGACTTGCACATTTATGTGTCCTTGGCTTTGCAGGAAAAAGGCAAAGATGCAAGGACAGTTTAAGGGCCTGGTGAAAGCTGCCCAGCGTGGGGCGCAGGCTGGGCAAAAGAACCGAAGGAAGAAGCGTCGGGCCTGAAGTCCCAGAATCCCGCGGGGCCGCTGTCCTGAGCGTCGTTCTCACAGCCTGCCTGATGTGGAGTGCCCATGACTTTGACAGTGCCCTGGAACCAGGGAAATGGTTAGAGAGCAACCCAGCGGGACTAGAGGCTGATTCCAGAGACTTACCAAGGCCTGAGGAAGGCCTGCGACCTGGTAGGCGGAGTCCTCCTCGCTGTTGGAGTCTGGGACAGTGGCCTGAGTGTTCTCTGAACCAGATTCATCCAAGATGACTCTGTATATTGTTTAAAGGACCAAGGGCCCCAGACTACAGATGGCCATGCCAGGGAATCCATTGGGTGGGTTCCAGTGGTCGAAGCTACCTGAATTTTGGGGACACAGTGTTTTCCTGATCAGACTGCAGCTGTTCAAAGGCCTCAGTGTTGGGGCAGTGTGGGGGGGATGTGTGTGTGTGTGTGTGTGTGTGTGTACGTGTGTACGTCTGCTTTGCTGGTCATTCATTGACCACAAGACTGTACTACGCCACACTGATGTGCATTAAACTTGGGCTTGCTGAATACCCTCGGTAAGAATTGCTTTATTTTTTTTAATCATGAACTTTTTTGTTAATATTTATTTTGACCCAGCAGATACAGCCCAACCAACAGTGCTTTCATTCTTGAAGGACAGTTAAACAAAACCATCTAAAAGAGAGATTGCAAGAGGAAAGAAGAAAAATTCCATTTAAGATAAGGCATATGAAGCATTTGGGAGTTAAGCCACCTAGACAAAGACAGGTCTTAAATACAACTACAAAGCAGTTTTGATCAAAAAAAGAAAGATAACTGGAGAAAGAATCAGACTTGTACATACTGTACCAGTCTTCCCAGGATTATCTGTAGAATTAAATAAAATAATTTTAAAATTCATTTGGAAGATTAAAAGGTCAAGAATACCAAAAGAGTGAAAAGGAGTGGGGCTTGTCCTTAGCAAATCTGATACTCTGCTATGAAGTTGTACTTTCCAGAACTGCCTGGTGCTGGACAAAGAGAAAAATGAGTCAGCAGAGTAGACAAACAAGTCATAGAATAAGTCACAGTACCCTTAACTGGGTTGTTAGGTCAACAATGAACTCTGTTAACAGCAGGTAACATTTATGTAATGCTTAATATGTGCCAGGCACCTGACAGATATCTCATTTGGTCCTTATAAAAATCCTGGGAGGTAGGTGCTACTTTTATTCCCATTTTACAGATGACAAAACTGAAGAAAACAGAGGTTAGGTGACTTGTCCAGGGTCACACAGATAGTGTCTGAGACCAAATTTGAACTCAGTTCTTTCTGACTCCGTGACTGGGTGCTATATCTATTTTTCTACCCAGCTGCCCCCACGAGGTTAACAGCCTGCAAGGGAAGGCCCTCTATTCACTAACACCATCTGGAAAAACTGGAACCATGGGGTCTGGTGGAATATGGTTTTAGATCAAAATCGAAACTCCACAATGAATTCTAAATGGATAAATGATCTACATTTTTTTTACAGCTACATTTAAGCGAAGTTAGAAAACAAGTTCTGTCTTTTTACAATTTTAGGTTAAAGAAAAATTCATGATAAGACATGCACCATAAGAACATAAAGCACAAAAGGGGTGATAATTGTATGAGATTTTTTAAACTTGTGCACAAAAATCAGTGCAATTAAGAAAGATAGATGTGAATTGGAGGAAGATCTTAGCATTAAATATCTATGATTTCTACCATCTATACAGAGAATGTACATGAATCTCTTAAGAGCCATTACCTAATAGACAAAGGGCCAAAAGATATGTAAGCACCAATAATCAGCCAAAAAGTACTTAAAATCCAAGATGGGGCAGCTAGGTGGTGCAGTGGATAGAGCACTGGCCCTGGAGTCAGGAAGACCCAAGTTCAAATCTGGCCTCAGACACATAATACTCACTAACTGTGTGACTCTGGGCAAGTCACTTAACCCCAATTGCCTCACCAAAAAAACCCCAAAAAACAACAAAAAACCCAGAAAAATCCAAGAGAAATGTTCAATAAAACAAGCCAAAGAAGGAGGGAAAACTTGATGGAGGGACTCTGGGGAGATAGGCACAGTTAATTCATTGCTGGTGCGTTTGTTCAGCCATTCTGGAAATCAGTTTGGAATTCTGGAAGAAAGTTATAAAGTTGTCGATGCCCTTTGAGCAAGAGTTCCACAGGGACTATCACAAGGAAGTATGGGCCGCGGTAAAACGTGTACAAAAATGCTCGTAGCAATATTCCTGATTTTTAAAATAGCTTTTGGATAGTGTCTTTACATTGTTTTGATTTTTGCCCTGTCCCCCCTACCCCTTTGAGAGACATCCTTTATAGCAAAGAATTCTTCGAAAAAGAAAAAATTTATCAAATTCAGTATTTTTTAAAAACCCTGATGTTCCGTGCAATGTTTTATATCTGTGGACTCCTTCTACCTCTACAAAGGAGGAGAGGAGGGATCTTCCTGTCACTTCTTTGGGGCCAAATTATAAAAGTTTTTCTCCATTTGTTTCTGGTTTTCATTTACATTGTTGTCATTGTGTTTATTATTTTCCTGGCTCTGCTTCACTTTTCATGAGTTCACATATGTCTTCTGTGCTTCTCTGTTTTCATCACAATGTTTGTCATTTCTTACAGCATAGTAATATTCTATTCACTTACCCCAATTTGTTTAGCCATTCTAAAGTTGATGGGCATCTACTTTGTTTCCAGTTCTTTACTACCACAAAAAGTACTACTATAAATAATTTAGTGGTTACAGGGCCTTTTTATCAGTGACCTTCTGTGTGCTTCACAGGGACTCTCTGGGTCAAAGGATATGGACATTGTAATGATTTTATTTGCAAAATTCTTGCTTTCCAGAATAGAGTGTACTAATTTACAGTTCCACCAATAATGCCTCAGTGTGCTTGTCTTTCCACAACCTCTCTAACATTGACTATTCCCATCTTTTATCATCTTTGCCGGTTCGCTGGATGTATGAGGTGTGAAACTTAAAGGTTTTTTTCATTTGCTTAGTGATTTGTTTTCTTATTAGTGATTTGGAGCATTCTTTTATACGGTTGCTAATAGTTTGTAATTCTTTGATAACTGCTCACATCCTTTGACTACTTATCTATTGGGAATAACTTTTTTTTCCTTTTTGGTGAGGCAGTTGAGGTTAAGTGACTTGCCCAGGATCACACAACTAGTAAGTGTTATGTGTCTGAGACCAGATTTGAACTCGGGTCTTCCTGACTCTAAAGCCAGGCTCTATGAATGTGATAGAATTACAGTATTACTGTGCTGTAAGAAATGATATGTGTTGAACATAGAGAAGCATGGTAAGATCTACATGGACTGATACAGATTGAATGAAGTGAGCAGAACCAAAAAGACTTAAGTAGATACAACTACAAAGTAAATGAAACAAAATCAAAATTGGATGTTGCAAAATTAAAAAGAACGACTATGGTTTTAAAGAACTCATTTAAGAAGACACCCCTTCCCCTTTGCACAGGGAAGAGTTCTGCAAGTGTTGTACATAGCAGATATTTTTCATCTTTTTTGATGTATTGATCACTTATGCTGATTTTTTCTTTTTGTATTTAAAAAACACTGCTATGGGAGGGGATGGCACAGGGATCCTGAAGGAAATTATGGTTATTAAAAGTTTTATTTATGCAGAACCTTTTCAGTTTTATGTAATAAATTATCTACTTTGTCTTTTGTAATTGTCTCTGTCCCTTTTTTGGCTAAGAATTCCTCCCCTAGCTATAGCTGTTAAAGGTAATAGGATCGCCTTCTCTTCTAAATTTTTTATGGTATGATCCTTAATATTCAGGACATAAACATTTTGAATTTGTGGAATATGGTGTAAAATGTTAGCTGAAGCCTGATCTCTGCCAGACTGTTTCCCTTTTTTCCCAGTAGTACTCACTACATAGGGAGTTCTTTTCTAGGTAATTTAAGTTTTCAGCTTTATTGGACACTGGATTATTGAGGAGGGACATGAAAGAGGCCACAAAACAGACCACATACGATGAATGTTTGTTATTACCATACTGTCTAAGAATACATATCTCTTTTTTTCAATCAGACTTTTTTTTCTGGGAATGTACTTTACAAGGGAACTTTTTGGGACGTCTTTGTTGTGCCAAGAAAAGGGGGGAAAATGATGAAAACTGATAGGCCATGTTTCATTTTTGTGGTTAACTGTTTGTTAACAGGAAGGAAGGAAGGATGTGTGCTTCAGCTTTTAACAACTCGCTACCAACATTGTCCTTTGCATTTGACCCGGGTTTGTTGTTTCAAGTTGTCTCCAGTTACACTATTATAGTTGGCATCTATGCTGGTCGTCTGGCTCTGGTCTCTTTACTCTGGCAGCACCTTCTTGTCACATGTGCAGACCCTGTTCTGGCAGCCAGGGCAGCTATGACACAACCCTTTATTCCTTTTCTATCAAGCATGGTGCTTTTGTTGAGTGCATCTGTGAATGCAAGCCATGATCCTCCACTAGGTAGAATGGCTTAGCCTTTTGGGAACTAGCTGAATCTTCTTGGGGCTAGAGCCCAAACCTGAAACAGCAGACAAGTAGTGTGGCAGTGCAGAGGGTACCTAGGATCCTCCTTGACTGAGCTAGGCTGCCATTCCCATAGTACAGGTACATGTGTTGACATGGCTCCAGATTTAGTCACCTTCATTTTCCCCTCCTCCAAAATGGCCCTACTCATACACCTGTGACATTTCACACCCTCCTTGATAAGCTCCGGAAGCTTGCTCTTACCTCTAGGATAAAATTCAAACTCTGGCTATAGTTTACCTCTCCAGACTTATGAGATATTACTGACCTTTACTCAATCTGTATTCTAGCTGGGTGGCCTACAGGTTATTCCCCATATACAACATTCAATCTTCTTTACCTCTGCCTTTCCATAGGCTGCCCCACATGCCTGGAATGCACTCTCTCCTCCCCCTACCTTGCCAAACCCTCCAGTTATCCATGTCCTCTTAGTGAAATTATTTCACTTCTATTTTATGTATCTTGTATTTACTTTTCTCTTTGTATCTTTAATGCCTGGCCCAATGGGAGGAGGTCAATCAATGTTTATTTAATTTAATTTATTTTATTTAATCGGTGTAGAATGAGATCAGGAGAGTGATGATGGTGGGATGTGTAGATTTGAGAGTCATCTACATACATACATACATACCTACAGCTAGGTGGTGCAGTGGATAGAGCACAGGGCTTGGAATCAAGAAGACTTATCTTCATGAGTTCAGATCTGGCCTCAGACACCTAGCTGTGTGACCCTGGGTGAGTCACTTAACCCTGTTTGCCTCAGTTTCCTCATCTATAAAATGAGCTGGAGAAGGAAATAGCAAACCATTCCAGTATCTCTGCCAAGAAAACCCCAAATGGAGTCGTGAACAGTTGGACACGATTGAAACAACTGAATAACAACAACACACATAGAAATGATCAGTTGGTGATCTTATCACCAAGAGAAAAGGAAAGAAAGCTCAGGAGACAACCCAGGGGAAAACATCCATACAGATGGCAC